TAATATATTCAGTCTGCTATGAGGATTAGGATCCGTGATACGACACCAGAGATTCATTTGCAGCATCAAAATTAAGCGAAAGGACTGATGTTAGTAAATGCATCGGGCACATAATGAAAAGCTAAATAAATAACCAAAAAACGAACAAACGAATAATTTAAACGAATAAACATTGTAAATAAGAAACGAATAATGAACAATACCATTTTAACGTTTTTACTAAAGCCACACATCGGTTCTTGTTGAGTACCCTTCATGAACACCACCACCGGTGAACTATTGACGTACTTTTGCAGACGACTCCTCAGATCGGCGCTCAGTTCAGCACTTGAACTCGCATAAAAACGTACCGAGTTCAACAGTGATCGTTTGAAAAATTGTTGCATTGTCAACGCCATCTTTAAGAAAGTATTACTTCACTGCTTTGCGATTTTCATTCATCTGCTTCAACCGAACACGGCGTTATTCATTCACAATGCAAATATATTCTCAAAGAAACATTTGACATCAATACGTTCGAAGAATAACACATGGAAATGTATCGTCAACAGATGATTCGCTCAACCTGACGAAGTCTTATCGTGAGGTATCATTATCGGAAGATGCTACCCATCCATATAATTCGAGCAGTAGTACAACGTCGACTGGCAATCCAACCGACGATATGACACTCTCGAAATATCCGACAGAGGCAAACACCTCTAGATTCACTTCATGACAGAACTGTTTTTGTTACTATTAAAGTTTTGAAATGATTTGTGGTTTGGCTGATTTATCAATAGACATCTTTTGGTTCATATTCATATCATTTAATGCGTGACAATTTAAACATTTTCACTCCTGGCCAAAAGTCTGCAACAAGGAGCTGTCAAAAGAAACAGTCGTAACTGCCATCTAAATTATTGAGGATATTCACATCACAAAACTATACTTTTATACTGCTCCAACATTACCACTACAATATAGTAAACGTTCCTATTTACAGTTTCATCAATAATTTACGAAATGAACAAGTCAATTGGAAATAAGATAACCAATAAGTTGATGATACCTCATTCTTGATTAAATTCCCTCTAACTTAATCACGAATGATAACAACCCGACGGAGTGTTCCTATAGTTTTGAATTTTAATAAAGTTTCAACAAATACCACAGGGAAATACTTTATGAACACCTAAGTGATTTAAGCATTTTGCGAAGAAAATGTCCACAAGAAATTTTGATCGCTACAAATGATGTCTGGCTTCATATAGTGAAAACGTTCGAATAGAAAATATTCCCATTTCGATCAGTTTCAGTTTGCTTTGTAACAAATCAGTGACTGATTTGAACTGGTCGCGCATGAACAACAACGGCGTCTTCAATTTACAACACAACGCA